TATCCCGTTCCCTTCTTCAGCGTTCGGGAATCGGGGAACGGAGGGTTCTGTTTGTACTGGCTCTGTTGAAGTATTGGTAGCTCTAGAGAAAAAACTGGAGGAGACTATCTAAATATAAAAACAGTGGAGTAAGGCACCGGAGGAAGATAATTACCTTTTTAAAACCAACAGTCCGTATCTTGGATGTGTGAGGTGTTTAGTGTTGTACTATTTACTTCCCCAAAACGTCTGAAGTGCTTAAATATGCTCAAGATAAAATAAGATGCAACTGTAGAAGGGTGGAATATTCTGCCCAGCCGCTACATCATACACAAAGTGTAGTGAAACTGACAGGCTTAGTAATTATAATGTCTTTATTTCTAGGAACGTTTAGGAGCAGCAGGCCAAGAGATGTGTAGAAATATTAAGCAACAGCAGTAATTGTTGAAAGGTGCTATTCTGCAGCACCAAAATACCTAAGCAGACATAAAAAGAGCTGCAGTGTGACTGTGTGATTAATTTAATGGCAGGTGTGAAATGAATGAAAGCTAGTAAGTTCTGCAAAATAGAGAACAAAAATAATATTAACTGTTGTGGTTTTTAAAGCTCTGATTTATTTTCTGCTCTTAGCGTGCAAGATGGACTGGCTGCTGACTTCAGAGCATTAACAAAGACTCTATATGATTTGAATAAAGCTCTGGGAAATAATATAGTTCGTGGGGGTCCTCTAAAAGAGCTGGTGATAGAAAATTTTGATGAAGAACAGATTTGGCAACAACTAGAGCTCCAGAACAATGCAGTTCTCGATTTCTTCAAGAAATCCATTGCAAGGGATGCTGAGGATGAAGATCTTTGCCTTCTATCAGACCAGGAGGAGGATAGCTCTGATGCAGAGACCAGCAGCGACAAGCAAGACAACACAATGGAAGCAGAAACTGAACGGAAGAATGTTTGTACAAAAGATAAAACTAAAGCTAAAGAAAAGCAAAGTACACTCGAAGAAAGTGTAGTGCAGAAATATAGTGATGAGGATTCTGATATTGAC